TCTCTCTCTCTCTCTCTATGATTAGTTTTTCAAGCGAAGTATAGAGCTTGAAGAATTAGCTGGTCTTTGGTAGGGTATTTATTGTATATGATTATCAAGGGCAAAATGGAGAAGCAAGGAAATAGCACAACATTTTCCTTTTGTCTTTCGTGGCTCTTGCATGTTGAAAATGAATGTGTGTACATTTGTTAAGAATATTAAGGCATGTTTGGTGGGAATTAAAATCAGATTTTTAGTAGGTATAGATAAAAGTTGATGAAATGTGTGATTGGAAAGTTGTGGGATTAAAAGTTATATGTGATTAAAATTAATTGTTGACTTTGAATTAAATTAAAATTTAGATTTTAATTCGTACCGAATAGGCACTAATATTGTTATTTGTTAATACGGTGTATGATGCAAATTTGACCTGTTGTGTTATCCTCAAGTAATTTCCTTGAAATGGACTTACTTTCACTAGGATCATGGCTCCTGTCCTGTAAGCCATTTAGAATGTAGTCTTCCATGTAGCAATTTTGCTAATGGTCTCGTTTACCCTTGGATACACCAAATTTTATTTTAAATTATTTAATTAAAATTTATATAATTACTATAATAGTTAAATTACAAATCAGATTTACAAATCAGAAAATTAAACAAATAAATTTCACAATATGTTTCAAGTAAAAAGAAAAAAAATCATTAATTCTCAATATTAAACAAACTTGTAAAGATAATCCTATTTGACACATATTTTCTTAAAATATATTTTTTCAAAACTCATTTTTAACCACACATATTTCAATAAAATATTATTTTCCATCACATCAATAACCTTTACTTACTTTTTAGCCAAATATTCGTATCATATCACTATTTAAATTACATTATTTCCTCAATAATCAGGTTTATACTTATAATCTATTGACGATTCATTAGAAGAGAAAGAAGTGTTGCACTTATTTTATTTCATTGGATCATTTGTTCTTTTAAAAAAATATATAAAGAAGATAAATATATTTTATACACTTATTCGAGACTTTAAATAATGACATTTTGTAATTTTTTTTAATGAAATATTACTTAATTCGTTATATATTGTGTTCAATAGGTAAAAACATTTGATTTGATGAAAAATTAGAGAAAATGGTGAAAATAAGCTCAACTGTCCGAGATCTAAAGTTCGACGATCAAAGTGCAAATACTCAAAAATTGTAACAAACCCCACGGTAAGTATTCGAGAATG